AACCTCCACTACAACATCTAACGAATTCAAATTTCCGAAAATCACTCATCTATAGAAAGTGAGTGGAAGCAATCCTGCATGCAAGTATTTTTCATGATACGCTTTGTCTGTCTATCTTTCTATTAGGCCTGTGGACATGTGTTAGCTTCGAAACTTCTAACCAAACTAGGAAAATTTTGAAATCACAAAAAAAAAATTCAAAGGTAATTACAAGCAAAATACATATTGATTATTTTACGCAAAACCGAGCAAGTAATATTAAATCTCTTGTATTGTATGCTAATGCTAATTGACTGTAACAAAAATAATATGCTTAAATAAAATAAAATATTAATAAAATGATATGCAAAATTTACTATTGGTGATTAATTTAGTCAGGTGATCATAATCAGAATTGCTCAGTCTGCATGAAGCAGCCGATTGCATCAAGGAAGTTCTATTAACAACCAAGAATTAATCGTTTGAGGTATACTGAAGCATTAAGAAGGTGATATGTGTCACTATGGGAAATCATCATCGTTGCAAATATAAAGAAATTAAACATAACCCTTTGCTTCAGTACCGTCAACCTCCATGTCCATGGGGAGGGCTTTTCAGGTAAGAAACTGGTTAAAACCAAATTGACTCTGGTTAGATATCTTGGATTCATTTGTGACAACTGTTCAAAACTGCTTTTGAATTTCCAAAAATGTATGACGTCCTCATTCCCTTAAAGAATTTGCTAACACTTTGAATACTTCTGAATTTTACTAAAAATTCCAGATGTCTGCAAGATTCTATAGAATGTTCTGTATTTTGTTATAACCCTTCCAAGTCTCAGAACCTTGATAATTATGACTCTACGACTCATAAGAAATTTATTTTTATTTTATTTTTTCAAATCTGTGATCTTGATTTTTTTTTCAAATTCTCATATTTTAGTATTTTTTTTTCTCCAAATCTTGCATCACGAAGATTGTTATTTATCACAAATTTTGAAGATAAGTTCTAGTTTCAAACTCTACACAAATTTCAAAGCCCCAGAATCTTGGGAATCATGTTAAATCATCGTTGTTTGATCGTTTCAATACATTCCTTTCAGTAATATTCTTCAAGTATTGGTCTGTTGGACGTTGGTTTTAAATTTTATGTTTAGTTTCACGTTGAGCGAGTTCCAACGTCAGTATGTTTCAAATATTTTTTCGTGTTTAACTTTGTACATCAGGCCGAGTACTGAAAAGTTAATATTTGTGTTAGTATAGACAACGGAGTGTTCTTCACAGTTGTGTCTTAAAACCTATTCATCCAGATGACTGTTGGCCTAGTGACCTTAATCTCTGTTACTCAATCAATTCTAAAGCTTTGAAGTCATAAGATGAATCGAGCATAAAAAAGGGATAGGAATTGATTTTTCAAAGTATCTGGGAAGATCAAAGAAAGATGTTTGAATACGGTTATTTTTACACGGTTTTTCGCGATTTACACGGTACGTTTTTAACGATTTCTCGACAACGATACAACCTATCGACTTGATTCCAATCACATTATCCGTTTCAAGCTATAGGTAATCGAATGACATACTTAGAAAAAAATCACAATTTTTGGTGTAAATACAGAAGTTTTTAAAATATGTGTATATGGAACATAGCATGCTATAATTACAAATGGCATTAAAATCCGATTTTTTTAAAACATTTAAGCATGTGCAAAATCAAAATCTCGTAGGTTTTTTTTAAACGGTTTTTTTTACACAGTACGTATGGGGGATCAGGTCTTTTTCTACACGGGGGGTGTAGAAAAAGACCTGAGTGTACATTAAGTGACTCATAGAGTTTAATTTTTACTTTCAGATTTAAAAATTACTTTCTGTATTTTTGATTTAATTTTTTTCCACAAATAACCTCCGAGAATTTACAGTTGACCGTGTTTTTAAAAATACGTACAATTTTGTTTTTTGTTGAATATTAACGACCGGGATTTTTTTTAAAGATTTGATCCCGGAAAACCGGGAAAAAAAAACGGGAATTTCAAAATGAGAATTCACTGGCCATGTCTGTAGGAATTAAAAGAAACGTCAAAAGAAATAAAAATAAAATCAAGCGTATTTAACATATTATATAATTAACATATTATTTTCCTCCCCTTTTTAAGAACCAAATAAGTGGCCATCCGAGGAAAGGAGTACAACCTTCAACATAATTCTAACCAAATATCTTCTCGAATTTCAGGGTCTTTGTAAATAATTTGAATGAAAATAATTAATTAGTAAACCCTCTCGTTTCAGTACCCCACCAAGTGACTAAAACCAATCTGGGTATCCTAACAAGCAAAACAAAATACGGATAGCAAAATAACAATAATAATAACTCTTAAGAAGCTTAGATTCAACACTGCTCGATAAAGATGATTCGAATAATATTTCTCTTTGTTTCCATTGGTTGTAGGGAGCTTTTAAAAGCTCAAGAATTAGAAATAACAAATTTAAACAAACAACCAATTTTGATTTTGAAATCCAGTACATGTAAAATTCAATTAGGCAGCATAAGCATTATTCATCCTATAAATATAACTAACTTAGAAACTACTGTTAACTATATAACCAATCTAGCATACACAAAAATTAATAATCATTTATCAGACATTGTTAAGCTTAACATAAAACTATTGTATTCTAATTTAATTTAGTTAAAACCAATTAAACATCGCAGTGTTAGAAGCCTGAACCTAAATGGAACAACCTGGAAATGGATCAGCAGAAGCCCGGATGCGGAAGATCTGCACATCATAAACACAACCAAAAATAACCGTCGACAGGGAGACATTATTATACATCTTACGAGTACCACAACTGATGAAGGAAGAATCAACCATCCTATAAGTACACCCACTCAATAACAACAATTCTATGATAAAACGCTACCCGCTACATAGCAGTTACATAAGTAAGTACTCAGATAAATGGATATCCAATCTAATTTTGGGCAAGAAAAGCTACTGTACAATCAGACAAGATAACTAAAAAGAAGCACGTCTAATAGGTGACAACCTATTATTGATTAATTACGCAAATTCAGATACATTTAAGTCTGGTTGCGGCCCTGATGATCGAGTACTTAATGGTAACTTTCTAATATCATTTTCCAACTGCAACATAACTTTTAGAAACCTACAGTTTGTGTCTCTTGATGAAACCGTTCAACTATCCATAATACAAGGCGCTATGCACAATGTATTAACCCAACATCAACTAGAAGAAGAGGATCTAACGTTCTGAACAACAAATCCATAACCAACACAAGATTTCTACCTGGAACAGTTCACCAATCAACTCTGGAACTGGAGTCTGCTAAGAGGAATATCGCTCTCAACAATCTTAACCGTAACTATAACCATTTTTGCTCTCATACATTACAGACAAAGTGTTCGTTGCATCATTACCAATCTTACCACAAAGAAGGAAACCAAAGCCTCATCCTCAGATAACTTAAACAAGGACGCGTGAGGTCACGCTTTTTTTACCCCCCGGAGGAGTTACAATACGACAGACACACCACTAGCCATCACGAAGCAACCCCTCAGCAACTTGGACCTAGCAACCGACGGCTACCATCGGTAACCGTCAGCAGAAAGTTTGGACCCAGCAACCACCAGCCGCCACCGACAGCCCAGTCAGCCCAGTCAACCCGATCGTACGACGTTCCACATAGGCAGGCCGGTAGTATATAGTAAATAGCATAGTAAGCAATGAGTGGGTTTCAAATAGGGATAATTCCAATTGATCGAGCAGTCTTTAGTTATAAGTGATAGAGTAGTTCAATTTGATAAACATAATTAGTGAAATATTTTTTATGTTCCCCTAAGGAACAAACCCGTGATTATATATCACAACAATTAAGGCTGGTAAGATCTGCAGTAACTGGAGCGCCTAGGTCAAAATTAAATGTAATTTATTTAGAATTTAGAACAAATAAAAAGTTAAAACAATTGTAACTGACAGGTAAAAAACAAAAACTAGTTCCGAAAACGCCTAATTATATGTATCTCCTAGGTGATCATCCATTATCAACCAATGATTTTCGTGTATTTTAAGAACTTCTACCGATTGGATCTGCTTAAAACTTGGTAAAAATCAAGTTTAATGATTATTTGAACTAATTGATTGTTTTGGAAACGCAATAATTTTTGACATGCTAAATCATGCTTCGAAAAAAACCAATTTCCCGCACAGTTTTGTATGGCGTATGGCCAGTGGTAAAGGGAGGGGGCACCCCTCTTTATCCCTCTCCAAAGGGGGAGTTTGGTAAAGAGAGATGATAAAACTGATTTGTACCTTCCTAAAAGTTGTCTAGCTCGCTTTCTACTCTCTATATGCAATTTTCACACAGCCGTACTCTAAACGGAGCTATCAATTCTATGCTTTCATTTCCTCATCTATCGTATAAAAAATACCACTTCAGTCTGTTATTTGAAATTAGCATCTTCAACTATGACATTCTTATTTTTATTTCCGAAGAAGAAAATCACATTTCCATCAATTTTTCCTACACTATGCAATTGGTTCTTTTTTAGGCTCATTTTCTCAAAATTGGGAGGAACCATGCTTTTTAAAGTGTCCTTATATTAATTTCCACTACTGTGTTACCTGACTTATAACGAATGTACGTTGCATACGAGTACCCCGAATACAACGTATGACTCGTCTAATTTTGCATAGCATTTTTTGAAATTAGACGAACTATACGTTGTATTCAGGGTACTCGTATACATCGTATATTGGTTATAAGTCAGGTAACACAGTAGTGTATAAGCGGAAGTGATTATTCACTGTGATTATTTTTGATTGTGCGCAGAAATAATCAGAGTGATTATTCACTTTCGCTAAGAGATACACTTGCCGTTTCAAATTCACTGAGCGTTTCTACTTGGCCCTACATTATAGAAAATTGCGTAAATTCCCAATAAAAACTATATTAATATTTGGTCGCAAATGAAATATTTTTTTTTTAAATTGCAATACTTACCACATACGCATCATAGGAGTAAAGTTCAGCGTCGCAGTCATCACAAAGGTAAATATCGAAGAATGCAGGTTCAACCATTTGTTCATGTTGTAGGTCTGATTGCTGTGAATTTATTTGTTTGGGTAGAAGGCACTTTCGACCAGAAGTCTGTTGTGCTTGATCATAAAGCTGAAAAGAGAATGATATTTATGAGTACAAGTGTCATTAAAAGCGACCCACACACTTAAATTTTTTCGCCGAGATTCCAACAGCCGAGCAGTTCTGCAATTTATTTAGCTGAGATTCAGTAAAACAATTGCCGAGACTCAGCTAAATAACATTTTCTTGAGATATCAGCTAACAAACAGATATTTTGCAGAGATATCAGCAAAAGTAAGTGCCGAGGTAATCGGCTGTTGGAGATTTTACCGATCTGGATTAAGTGTGCTTATTCTTAGCGTCAATGACGATAAGTTTCTAAGTAATCCTCTCAAAATTGAGATCTTTAGATTATTATTATTATTATAGAGTTTTGGCACTTCTCAGCAAAAATTGTGGAAAATTTAACCTACCCCGGGCTGTCTTTATGCCAAGGGGGTTAGGCTTTGTGGATCTTATTCGTCAGTTGACTTATATCCTCATTTGTTTGCCTCAGTCGGATCAGTTATGATGATTCAGGAACCACCGGAAAATACTACAGGTTTCAATAATCACTGCTTTCTGAATGCTGTTCAGTTCTCTTCGTAGTTCCAACTCTTCAAGGGAACGTATAAGGGTACGGGGAACTATTCCGGTCGCTGAGATTACTACCGAAACTATACGTACATCCTCCTCGGCCGTTTACGATTTTGGGTACACGACGTTAGGCATACGGTCGTTAGGCATACGGACGTTAGGCATACGGACGTTAGGCATAATGTACGATAGGCATAATGGACGTTGGGCATAAAGGACGTTAGGCATAATGGACGTTAGGCATAATCTACCCAATGTATTCCAGAAGGATGATAATGGGGACCGTCTATTGATTGCTGACTTCTGTGACAATAATGAAAGAGCCCTAATTTTTGGAACTCATGAAAACTTGCGACGTCTTGGACAGGCAAAGTATTGGTTTACAGATGGTACGTTTGCCACAGTTCCTTGTTTGTTTCGGCAACTCGTCACTGTTCATGGAAGTATAGCTCCTTTACATCAGCAGACGGTTCGGCTAGTATTCATTCTGATGACAACAAAAACAGAATCGTTGTATCGAAAAGTATGGCAGGAAATCCTGGCAGCAGCAGGTATGTCTTTTTACTATTGAATGAAAAACCACAGAATTCACCATTCTTCATTTCATGAGCTGTTCTTTGGCATCATATTTTATTCAAGTTAGCTGTTTTTTTTTTGTTATTAAATGAAAAATCACAGAATTGACCATACTTTATTTCATGAGCTGTTCTTTGAGGAAAACCTTTTCTTCTTTGACAATTGCAATATGTGTGTAAGAATATATTACAACAAATGTGTGATATTTTTATTTCTAGATGCGATTGATTTCAATATATAGTTCAAAACTATGCTGAGTTTTCATTGCCAGATTACTTAACCGCTATCGCTACTAATCTTGGATCTGAGTAAATATGTAGCTACGTCACTTATGATTTGATAAATAATGGATTCCAAACTGTGCTTATTAAATAAACTATGTTTGTTTAACTTGTATCATTTTTTATTCAACGCTTAGTTTAAGTTAAGCATTGTTTACCATGCTCGAAACAGGTTTCTAGAGTTACACAGCAGCAAGGTATTTTATGCCTAACGTCCATTATGCCTAACGTATATTATGCCTAACGTCCATTATGCCTAATGACTTTATGCCTAACGTCCATTATGCCTATCGTCCGTATGCCTAACGTCCGTATGCCTAACGTATTTATGCCTAATGGGGTACACTCCTCGGCCGTTTACGATTTTCGGGCATAAGTCAGAATTAAGTGTCATGTCGGTTTGTCGGTGGTTTTTAGGTCGCAATTCAACTGGTAGTCTTCCTGCGTCAGATGCAGGGCGCTGAACCCGTGGTCTGCTTCACAAACAGCACGGTAGACTTCGTGATGGTTCTGGCTTTCTACGAAGTAGCTCCGCAACTGCTGAATCCGGGAAACACATAGCGCTTGGATATCAGTGATGCCTCTTCCTCCTTCATTACGTGGCAAGGTGACTCTCTCGACGGCCGACTTTGGGTGATGCATGCGATGCTTAGTGAACTGCCCATAATCGCATATCAGTCCCATATGGACATGAAATCAAGATAAGATGGGACTAATATGCGATTATGGGTAGTGAACGCCACTCGTAATGCTCGTTCTATCGCCTCCAAGTCTGTTTTGGTCCACTTGATCAAAGCTGTAGGTCAAACGTACAAACGTGTTTATCGCCTTTATCTTTTTGCCAGCCGACAGGAACGACCTCAGAACACGATTGATTCGATACAATAACTTTTCGTGCAGCTCCTTCTTGATCGCTGTATGGCGAATCTTTTTCAGTTGCAGGAACCTCAGGTACTAGTAGCCTTCAACCGTATTATCATTATCATTATCATTATCATTATCATTATCATTATCATTATCATTATCATTATCATTATCATTATCATTATCATTATCATTATCATTATCATTATCATTATCATTATCATTATCATTATCATTATCATTATCATCATTATCATTATCATTATCATTATCATTATCATTATCATTATCATTATCATTATCATTAAAATGCATCCCTCCGAAACGCCTGGGCCCGGGAGTACCGTTCCTGAGAAAAATAAAGGCCGACACCTCGAAATGGAATGGCATTACGAGCCGATGGGAACAACAGGTTTTATCCCGCCTTCGATCCGGACACACCCGAGTGACCCACAACATGGGTAGCGCTACCTTTTTTCGGAAGTTTTGCGACTCCTGCACAGCGCTGCCATTTATACAGATTTATCTGTATTATACAGACTTTTTAATCTTAATACAGACCCGATACAGAATACAGATTCATCACAGATTTTTAAATTACAATACAGATTTATACAGATTTTTTTTAAATGCTTGAGAAAAAAAAAATCCATATCAAAATAAGTTATCAAGCAGTTCTCACTAATATCAATATATGTTATAATTTTGATATTCTTCACATATCTTTTAGCTCTCATTTTTGTTCTGTTAGCCATCAACTCCATCAAAATGAAATCAATTTGAGTTATCAGGAATAATGAAAACAACATAATTCTTGTTTTCATTTTGTTCTCACCCTCTGCTCGGGAACCTATCAAATTTCCATCGACAATTAATCATGTTATGGTGTTTTTGACAGCATTCACAACCAGAGGACCAACCGCTTTCGGATGCATATGGAGCTGGTAGTAAACGATTTGAGATTGTATGGGGATTTACAGTATTAATTGAATATTTCCAATATAAGCATGTATGTTAAATACAAGAAAAGTGCCCGAGCACATTAAAATGGTACAAATACAAGTACTCGTAAACATTTTACTTGCATTGAAAATGTATTTCGTAAGAAATTGCGGATTTTCTGATATTCTCCATACTGCAAAAATGATTTTACTAGCACTGGCGGGACAACATCTCTCGACTTTTCGGTGTAACTACCACACAAATGATGTAATTAATTGTATTCATCTATATTAAAAATATCAAATAGTAATGAACTCGTGCACTTTTTTGCATTTAAAACTGCCTTTCAGGAAGATAATGAATAGAAACTAAAATCTCCATACATTTTCAAACGGCTTCATATCACTCTTATAAATAAGTACGGACGATATCACAAATGGCGCAATTATATCCCGTATGGTTAGTACGATAGCCCGAATAGGTGGTTAAGCACTTTTTATGGTTATTTTGTATGCACTGTATTTGTAAAACAACAAAACATGATTAATTAAGAAAAAAATCGTCAATACAGAAAATACAGATTTTTTAATAGAGTGGATACAGATTTTTTATAAAACCACCTGGCAGCTCTGCTCCTGCAACACGATTATGACAGTTGAACACCTGATTGTTAACTGTCCCTGCTTCCATAACATCCGGCTCCTCTATGGAATACCGAACAGCATACGTAACGCCCTCTCTAATAACCCATCAAGGAAGCAGCCCTAATAGTTTTCCTAAAAGATGCTGGACTGTTCTATAAAATCTAGACTAACATTTGAAAAGGGTGGAACTCCAAAATTACCATATCGAGAAAATCGCTTCTGAATTTTGATGACCTAAAAATTAATCCTATTTCACAACTTTCCATTTTCTGGATGATTGTATAAGCTTGACATATAGTTAATAGTGTAATCTATCATCATGCATCACTAAAAACTCAAAAAAAGTTTTCTTTGTCGTTAAATGGAGAAGAAAACATCATACGCCCTGATAATTTCTTACATGTTGTTACCCCCCAGATCTTCCATTCTTTGAACTGCCAACACTGGTGATACACCGTGGAAGTACACCATCGGTATTTATTGTTTGTTGTTCCGCCTTGGTTCTTCGTTCGCAAATTTTGTGAGAGTGGAATTACGCCCGGAGATTTTTTTTGGTCTTCTTTTTGTTCGTTGTTTACACGTGAAATATCAATCGGATGCGTTTCAAATTAATCGGGCGTGACTAGATACTACAGAATCAATACGTTTGGCATATTAAAACAATATAATTCGTTGTTGTGGTGCAAGGCGTAACAACCAGTTGCATCATCGAGTTGAAAGTTGGAAATACGCCATGTAAGAAGAAACGTTTTTGATGATATGAAGTGATATTTTCTTCTACTTTTTCGTGTTTATCGAGTAGTTTGTGAATTGCTCTCTCTATATGTGCCAAAATATGATTTGTTTACATTTTGGCTCTTCCGCCCCTTTCAAATGTTAGTCTAGAAATGTAATCAATATATACTAAATGACTATCCCCTCGAACATGGACACCACTGAAATCAGCCTGGAAATCACACGACGATTACCTGACTGCCTTCGACAACGACCCACGCCATTCACACCATGATCCGCCAACCACGCTAAGAACCAAAACAGGTACTATAATGAACTCTGTTAAAAAATACTCTGTACTAAGGGGACTCCCTTCTGGAGGCCCAGCAACCTCTAGGAAAACCCCTTCTGGGTTCTCCAAACTCTCAACTAT